CACCATATCACAAAACTCGAATTCATTTTGCTGTACTTAAACAGTGAACAGATCACAAAAAGAGCACCTTTGGGATGTGGTGGAATGAAAGCAGCAACTGTGTGATGCTATCATGTTAAAATGGGCTAAAATCTCTGAGGAATGTTTCCAGTAACTTGTTAAAGCTATGCCATGAAGAATTAAAGCTGGGCTGAAGGCAAAGGTCAACCTAGTACTGGCAAGGTGCACCTAATAACATTTCTGGTAAGTATATGCTTGTAGCAACACTCTTACGTGACTGGTGCATAAAGAAAAAGGACAAAAAGTAAAATCAGGTGAAATAAGACTTGGTTCTTAGTGCATGGATTCATTTTCACTAAAGTCAGAATAAAATTTGTACTGCATTGAGTTTTTTATGTTTTCTGAATTTTATGGATATCGTGCTGCTTTTCAGGTTTAATAATATTAACAAAATGAACTACCACCTGTCTGTTTGCTCCCTTAAGGATGGTGATATTCTGTCCTTCGGTGTATCCTCACATCATTCCTGGTGGAAGGAGAATGGGCCGGGATGTGAAAGCGAGAGACTTCCCTCTGCTGGATGGAAGAACCAGCAAAATCCAGAGCTTACCACAGTGCTGAGCTGCTGGCTGGAATACCAGTACATAGAAATCCTGCACTGCATCATCCAGCTCCTCGTATCAGTGAGTCTTTAGTTTTGTTCAACACTTCATTTAACAAGACTTTGAAATGGCACCATTGCCAGATGTCGCCTTCACAGCAAGGGCTGGTTAAAAAGTGAAGTGGAAAAGCTGTCTTTTCATGTCATTAGAGCTACACTGGTCCAGAAATCCATAAAAATAAGATCAGCATATGTCACCCCATGACAACAAAACCAAATAATAAAATAGTATGGCAAAAATAAAAAAACATGTGTCATTACCCCAAAACATATGGACATAACTGTATTTATATATTATTTAATGTCATTTTAATTGTAATAAGCATGCATCAGTACACCTGGGAACTAAGTGTTGCTTAGCAACAAAATCTGTAGATTAGTAACAGAGCCGATATTTAAGAATAACATCATATTATCACACTAGAGAGAGCTGGTACACACTTTCAGTTTGTGTATTATCTACAAAAGTGAATTACTGCGATATTAGGTCCTGTTTTTGAAAACATTTTGAAGCCAGTTCAATCTTCTGGGTGTGATTTATTTCAATTTTGTTCAATTAATGAAACTATATTTATGTCTTTTTTATACAGCACTTCATTTCTCTGGTCAACACTGGGTTCATTTACGTGACTAAAAGTAGTTTTAATTATTCACTTCAAACAGAATATAAAAAAATTGACGGTTGAGTCTGTTCGATATCAGATGTCGTGGAGACTCCAGCGACACTTAAAGTAATAGAAAACTTTATTAAGTGACCAACGTGTTTTGGCTTGTGGCCTTCATTAGGGGACCATGATGAAGGCCTACTTCCTTACACAAAGTATTGCATATGCTAAATACACTCAACACAGCAGCTCTGCCATAAATTCTGCTTTTATAAAACGTGTTTTTCAGGTTTGCTTATGATTAGGAAAGGTTGTGTTTTTGAAATACCAGTGGTTGGTTGTGGTGTTCTGGACTCTATTGCAAGTGCCTTAATTTCATTGATAAAAAGAAAAATATAGTTCTGATTTGATTTTGGCAGATCTTCACTTCTAGTAATGTCCTCACACATTCCTATTTTGGCCACTTGCACTTGTGCATTTGTGATCTCCTTCTGTGCTCAACTTAAATTTCATGTTGATGAAGGAGATACTGTAGAATTGCAAGAAGCTGTACTTGCAAGTAGAGCAGGTGGACAAAGATTAAGTCTTCAGTGTCCTGTGAGCAGGCATGAAAGCCTCAAACACCTCAGGGGACTAAAGCATAAATCTACACAACAGTCTGAAACTGCAGGGTGCATTCATGGGTCAAAACTTTTATGAATATCATGAAAATGACCAGTATACTCATGTCTGTGCTTCCTTCACACTTTGAAACATAACTGTTCCACTGAATGCTGCTCTTTCCTCTCTGAGTATCAGCAGTATTAGCAGTGATAAACATAAAAGTTGATGCAAAAAGTGGATGCTATTTTGAGGTGCATGCTAAAAATCATTAAAATGCACGAGCAAGTGGTCCTAATAGAACATAAAGGTAGAAAGTTAAGAATAGCCAAATTTCTGGCAGCTCAATGGCAACTTTTTGATTGTACTCCATATATTGAAGACCCAATCACTATTAAACTGAAGACTTGGTCACATGATGTCATGTGATTGGTTGATATTTTCTCTGTATTATTGTGGGGTCCTTACCGTACAGTATAAATCGCCTTAAGGTGTGTATGCTGGTGAACATGTATATTAAACTGTGTTTGAGTCCTTATGTGAAAATTTCTTCTAGCTGATGAACGTCAGTTGGAGAAAAAGGTTTTGATTTAATAAAGTCATGGCAAGCAAGACGTAGTGCAGAGGTTACAATGAATCTTTTCAATACTAATTCTTTCTTCCTACGCACCTGTTGTTCATTCAGGTGTGCAGAGATTTTAAACCATTAATATCTAAAACAATTTCTTGTGTAATACTTGAAGAGTACATCTACAGACAGATAGTTTCTCTGAGTAGGAATGCAAATAAGATAGCTAACTGGAATTAAGAGGTAAGTTATTATTTACATGTTTTTTCCCACTAAGTCATAAAATCTTTCGCTGTCAGCAAAGTCTACTGTCTGCTTTGTGTTTTGCGTTAATATTAAAAGACAGAAGATTTTAAAATATGCTGTTCTTTTCTTATGCTTTTGTGATAATCCTACAGCTCCTGGGATTTGTTTACGCCTGCTATGTGGCCAGCACATTTTCAGAAGAGGATGACAGCTGTAAGTGTCCTCCTGATCAGTGTCAAATACAATCTCATTTTTTTACATTATCTAAGTAATTGGATAACAATCCATTACAAAGAAACGGCATGTTTATGCACGCCTTTCATTCATTTTGTGTTATGTTTATTTTAGTTAACTTCATTGGTGAGTTTCACCATCCATCCAAACCCTCTAAGTTGCTTTTCTAGTGTTACAATCCATTGGTAAGTAGTCCACATTTGTTTGCACTCATGTAAGCTAAGCTAGGCCCATCCTCTGCTGCACAATGTATTTCCTATGTTTTTTGTTTTTTAGATTATAAATAAAGAAAGTGAAAAGCTGAGAAGGAACTAAGAGGAAGATCAAACAACTCTGCAGAGTCTGATAGTGCGTCATCTCTGGCATGGTCAATAACACTCACACAGAGATGCCGAATCTCACTGTGTACGTTTCTCACACTGTGGCCTGATTCAAAAGAGGAGTCTCCAGTCTATTGCATGTTGATATTTTCTAGTTTTATCCAGTAGTAACGCTACCTCTCAGCATGTATGTGAAAGACTGTTTGTAGGTTCGGCTGTCTGACAGAATACTGTGGTTCTAAATTTGTACATATGCAGCTGGTGTTCTTTCTGATGTTTCATAAAATGTACAAATTATTATTATGTGTAATTTCAATTAGAAGAAGGGAGGACCCCAACGTGTATAATGTGTGTCATCAGTCAGTGGAATAAACTGTGTCCACAATTTGCCTTATAGTGGATTACTGCTAATGTTCATCTAATGTTTATTCATTCATATACAGTTTTACCTCCATTAGTGAAATGTAAGTACATTTACTCAAGTACTGTACATTACTTAAGATTACATTTCTTTGTGTGCAATTTTGTCTCGTGTACAGTTTAGATTAAAAAAAATGTTGCACTTGTTACACTGACAGCTTTAAATGCTAGCTACATTTAAAATTAATTATGTGAACTTATAAAATATGTTTCATTTATCACCAAACTACCAAACAGTAATAAAAGAAAGAGTAAAAAATAAAGTAATATAGCAATGTTGTCATTTACTTTAGATGATTTTGTACCACTACTGCGCAAAAAAGCATTATGAATGTAAGTGACTGTAATTTGATTATTCATCCCATATTTTGTAAATTATTATTATTAAACATAGTGTTATAGTATAGTGTTCTTGGACCATTTTCAGTTGATTTTTTATTTATTTATTTGTTGTTTGCTTTCAAATATTTTTTCCCCTTAAGAGATTTCTTTTGTCATACTGGATTGTATTTTATTGAGCTACTGTTCCACTTGTTTAGGTTATTTTGATATATTTTGTGTTTAAAGATAAGATATACTGATTTATTTATCCCCAAAATTTGGACCTACAGAAACATTTTTGTCATGCATATTTCAGGATTCCGTAGCATTATCTCAAATGGTTCGACTTAACTAAAAACGTCCGAGAAAAATCCAAATAACTTCTGAGAATTTTTTTTAATTTAAATTAACTTAATTTTTGACCTATTGACCTAAGTTTTAAAAAAAAAATCGGTGGCAGAAAAAAAACTTCCATTCCTAGAAAAAATGTTTTCTTAAAAAGCCGTAATTATAATTAGATTCCATACCTTTAAGAAATGATTTAATCAATAAATTTATTTTTAATAAAAAATAATGAAATTAATGACATGAGCTCGCTCTGCTACTTCTGCTGCTAGGTAGCCTTGGACGCGTTTTTCACATTAGCGGCGTCATTTCCGCCCCGCAGACCCCGGATGAAGCTGCCGTTTGGGGCAAGTGAAGCAGGGCCACCGAGGCTGGTTGGGTTTTAATTTAGCAGAGAGGGGGGTCGGAGCGGATCGCAGCCCCGCTGGATTAATGTGGACAGGGCAGCGCGGAGTGCCAGCAGGGCTACGAGGAGCAAACAGTCCGGGTCGAGTAGAGACACCGGCTAAAAGCTGCTGCTAACTCTGTTTAACTGTTAGCAGCAAAGTAACGCAGAGCAAGCAGCCAGCTTCTCCGGCTAATAGCCTCTCCACACCGCGGAGTGTGCAGCTTACACACGGCACGTCTCATCGGAGCTCCAGTCTAACACAGCACCTGGTGAATGAATGATGTCTGCCGCTAGCATTGACCCTCAGGTAAGCAGCAAACAGGGGGATACCTTCAGTTTCGGGTTTATATTTCTGCAGGAAGGAGAGATGAGCATGGTGTGCACCCCTCTCTGGAGACGATGCCCCCGCTGCAAGCTAAGGATAGCTGGAAAACTACTCACTGCTGGTAACAAACCAAGGCCTGGACCACAGCTCCCAGTGGGTATCAGAGTGGCCCTAACATACCACATCGCCGAGCGCTGATGCTTTTTATGTGTCAGTGAGGTTTTTCGGAGGAAATGTCTGAATACATCTCAGTGTGAGGCTAGGGTGATGTCTTAATGCTCTGAATTTTCCAGTCGTGACCCACACAAGCTCTCTCTCTCTTTTTTTTCATCCTCCCAAAACGACTGATAAGACATCGAAAGGACAAGATGCAAGCAAAGGTAAGAGATGATGGATCTCTAGATGTTTTCTGTATCTAGAGGGGGACAAACTGGCCTGGCAGGCTTATTACTGAGTGCATCACCACCTAATATGGAACATGTTTCTGTAGCGGTTTGTAATAGTGATAACCACTGCAAAAATCTTTTAAAATTAAGGTACCTCACATATTTCAAAAGGTCAGCTCCTAAATGCTATATTTATCAATCAGGAAGACAGAAAAATCAATTTTAATTCTCGGTACTCATCATTCACGTTGACCTCCTCATTTGTCTACAGCTGTGTAGCACAAAGTGCACATCTTTTGGAAATCTATTTGTACATTTAGAGTGAATACATGCTGGTGTTTAGTTTGTATCATTATTAACTGCAATGTGAATATATCATGAGGTGTCATAATATTAAAAACGGGTATTTTTCTTTTTTTTTAGCTTTGTTTTTTTTTTTCTTTCAAAGTGTGTGTATAAGTTCCCATGTGCAGCTTTGATTCTATTCATTGCAGCCTTTTCAGTTTCGGTGCAGAATGGCTCCCTCCATCAGAAGGATGCTGTCCATGATAATGACTTTGAGCCCTATCTTACCGGCCAGTCCAGTCAGGTAGGAAAACTTTATTGAATCCCACAGGGGGGAATTCACCTGTTACAGCAGCTCAAAAGTAGTGATGAGATGGAAAGCACTGAATAATAACAATGTAATATAACCAAACTAGTCTTTGAGTTTTAGGAAGTAAAAGAATTAACATATGATCACATTGGTTAAATATACATGTGCGCACATATGCATGTTCGATCTGTTGAAAGGGAAAACAGTGGGGTCACTGTTTCTTTTAACTTTTTGGAGACCTTAAAAATAAAATGATTTTAGGATTTTAAGGTTTATCCTCTTATAACTTTGAATCAGTGTAGCGCTGGGCAGTATGACCAAAAAATCTGGTGAATTTTGTTAACATTATAAAAAAATATAAAACTCTTTAATGTCATCATTAAAAAAGAAATAAAATAAAATGAAACAGCACGACCAAAGGAACAAAAAGTCTGATCTTAGACTCTCATACCTAAAAATAGTATTTGGACTATACAGTCAAAACTAATATAATTTTTTTGGGCTGCTGTCTTTAAACAATGATTGTTTAGCTCATTAGCATTAATGTTTAAATGCAGCTTTCAAATAAAAACCATTTGAAATTACTCTTCCCAACTTTGTGGCATAAATTGTTCTGTCTCTGGGTAAAATCGCCAGTTAGCCTTGATTAGCATGTTTTCTTCCCATCATGCTGTTCAGTGGTGTCATTAAGTAAGGTTTTCATTGGAATTGAATAGAGGGACACCTCTGGTTGATTGGTTCAGAGACAAAGTTATAGAGGCAAAGCTGAGATGGTTTTTGGACATGTGCAGTAGAGGGATTGTGGGTAGACTGGATAGATGGGTTCTGAATATGGAGCAGGAGGAAAAGACGAAGAAGACAGTAAAAGAAAGAGAATGTAGTGACGGAGGACATGCAGAAAGTTGGCGTGACAGAGGAGGATGCTGGTTTGTTTTGTGACATAATGTTTGCTTTGTTCAACAGCGTGACCTGTGGGTTTATAAGTGGTGTTTCCTATTATCACGTATGAGTCATGATTGCATCCGTGAGTCAAGTTGAGAAGAGGAAAGTAAAATATCTCAAATTCAACAAAGCAAAATAAAGTACCTTACTAAAAGGCGTACTAAATGGAGTGGAATCAGCACGACAATTATCAGGTGATTAAAGCGGTTCAGTATAACTGAGTGTAAGGTGTAGGGGACAGTGGAGTGTGGAGAAAAGGGTGAAAGAGCAAAACATTTACTTTGATTTTGTTAAAAGGATCTTTTTGTGTTTCTTTTTTCAGAATAACAGTTATCAGTCCATGACAGACCCTTACCTGTCCAGCTACTATGCCCCCTCTATTGGATTTCCTTATCCTCTCAGTGAGGCTCCTTGGTCTACAGGAGGTGATCCACCGATTCCCTACTTGACACCCTATGCCCCGCTCAGCAATGGAGACCACCACTTCATGCACGACACGGTGTTTGGGCAGCCGGGCGGGCTCAGCAGCAGCATCTACCCTCACAGGTTTAACTTCTTCCCAGAGAATCCAGCGTTCTCTGCCTGGGGCACCAGTGGTTCTCAGGGACAGCAGACTCAGAGCTCAGCCTACGGGGGGAGCTACAGCTACCCACCAAGCTCACTTGGAGGTACCTTAGTCCCTGATGGCCAGACAGGTTTCCATAGTGACACCCTAAGCAAGGCCCCAGGTATGAACAGCATAGAGCAGGGCATGTTGGGCCTCAAAATAGGCGGGGACGTGACTGGAAGTGGCTCAGGTGTGAAGAGTGCAGGCTCCGTGATCGGTGGCAGCGGCAGTGTAGCGGCTGCTGTTGCCACAGGCAACGGTGGCACACCAATGGGAATGCCCCCTCCGAAGCCGACATCGTGGGCTGCAATCGCTAGTAAACCTGCCAAGCTGCAGCAACAAAAGACCAAGAACAAGCCTCCTATAGTCGGAGGACCTCTGCCTCCACCTCCCATCAAACACAGCATGGACATTGATACTTGGGACAATAAAGGGACTGTGACCAAGATGGCCCCTCCTTTACCCCACCACCACCAACAGCACCAGCCCCAGCTTCACTCCCATGCTCCCAGTCTCTTGCCTCCCCTTCAGCAATCCCTGCATTCTGCCCAGTCCCTGGTGCAGCAGATGACCCTGCAGGGTCCTCCTCCGCCTCATTCTTACCAGAACCACAACTCTGCTCCCACACCTCAGACCCGCTGGGTAGCCCCACGCAACCGCAACTTGTGCTACGGTGGAGGAAGCTTGGACAGCAGCGGCTCCTCCAACGGCGGTGGTGTTGGTAATGGAGGGGGTGGGGTGGGGCCTCCAGACCTGGGATCAGAGTCCCACCCTGTGCTGGAGAAACTGAGAGCGGCCCATAGCTACAACCCCAAGGAGTTTGACTGGAACCTGAAAAACGGCCGCGTGTTTATCATTAAAAGCTACTCCGAGGACGACATCCACCGCTCCATCAAGTACTCCATCTGGTGCAGCACGGAGCACGGCAACAAGCGCCTAGACTCAGCCTACAGAGCCATGAACTCTAAAGGGCCCGTCTACTTGCTGTTCAGCGTCAATGGCAGCGGGCATTTCTGCGGCGTGGCGGAGATGCGCTCGCCGGTGGACTACGGCACCAGCGCAGGTGTGTGGGCGCAGGACAAGTGGAAGGGCAAGTTTGATGTGAACTGGTTGTTTGTTAAGGACGTGCCTAATAGCCAGCTGCGCCACATCCGCCTGGAAAACAACGACAACAAGCCGGTCACCAACTCACGTGACACTCAAGAGGTTCCTCTGGAAAAAGCAAAGCAGGTGCTCAAGATTATTGCCCAGTACAAACACACCACCTCCATCTTCGATGACTTTTCCCACTACGAGAAGAAGCAAGAGGAAGAGGAGGTGGTGAAAAAGGTAGACATGTCTTTGATATTAAATACAAATGAATGAATCTGTTAAGGTTTTGCTGCTGCTGTATGAAAAAAGTTAATGTGGGGGAAGAATGTTTTGTTCACATTTCTACTAAAATATCTTCTTTGGACCCTTGCTTTTCACTTTTGTTTGCACACATGCTCTACAGCATGTCCTGTGTGTTACTAGAGCTTCGCAATTGATCCGATTTTAATTTCTTGTGATTAGCAAATCAAGATAATCAAGAAGGTAATAAAGCCGCTATTTAAATCCATGTTTTCAAAGTGGGAAATCATAATGAATAATCACGATCTCAGTACTATCATTAATAAATCCTTTATTTAAAGACCTTCTCTCATTGAGGTGCACAAAAGAGTTGCATTATTTAGTTCAAGACAGTTTAAGACAGACAGATACAGCAACACATTATTTGTTAATGTGCAAATTAAGAACAGCACCTACAATAGCTGTGACAGATACATATAAATAATCTGTGTGAAAATAAGGGTACAGGTAATATTTAACTGCCCTCTGGGCACTGCAAGTGCTGTGTTTTAAACAAAGAGCACATGCGACCAGGTAATCTTTGCAGCACAACCTTGCATGGAAACATCAGACATTGTTGCTGTCATCTGCTATTTAAAGAAGACCATCTCACTTTTGTCTCCCAGTGATGCAGTGCAGAGTGAGAAGGCTCAAAGTGGCCAAAGAAGCGCGCACATAAACAGTATCACCATACTCGAGCCTGTGGGTACATGCAGTGAGTGAGAAACAGGATTTCTTTCTTTTTAAAAATACAGTTTTTGTCTTTAGTTTTCTTGACAGGTGTTCCTCACCGGTGTAAAAATTGACTAGAAAATTTGGGATTTTTTTCCATAATCGAGCAGCAGTAGAACCTGTGCAACTGCAGTCAGATCAGGCATCAAACGGTTTTAAACCTGCCAGCTTCATAGTTCCAGGTCTGCGTGATGTCTGATAGTGCCTGTTTGAGAACAATGCAGGTAACTGTCCTGTGAATTCACAACAAGCGAGTGGGCGTCATGTGTTCTGCCTCCTGCACGCTCTGTTCAGTCAGCTCTCTTGCCTAAACCAAAAATAGTATTTCCAGCAGTGAGAACCCATCTGACGCAGGTTATTTCCTGCTGTGTGCTGCTTGTGAGAAAGGACAGCTCTGCACAACGCTCAGACCTGATTCTGGTGACTGTGTCTGAGGTTCAGGTGTAAAAACAGCTGCAGATAAAAGCTACAACACCCCTACCATAATCCTATTGTAGACTTACTTTCTTACACATGGATTATGCCTAATCCTAGACTAAATACAACTTCCTATTGTAGTCAACATTGAATTTTCTTTTTAGATTAGGACTGCGTTCAATCACCGACTGTGAAACCGACTCTTAATGTCTTACAACAAGGTGCTCAAGGTTCAAGGACCTTGAACCTTGAACCTTGTGCACCTTAACCGACTCTTAATGTCTTACAACAAGGTGCACAAAACGTGTACTTGACCTGATTTATGATGTTGCCTTTATATGGAGTTATTTATGTTAACTAACCATAGACTTTATATAAAGATGGACATAGCCACATAATATTACCTGAAACTAGTAACTGAGCCTATTAAGTCATCAGGAACAAGTCAGAAGTGACCATATTTAGAAAGTTGCATGCTGAGTTATCAGCTAACACTAATCGAGCTTGATTTGTGAGTTGGTTGATAAACTATTAAGGTTTGAAGCACAGGTGCATTTATCTATACTGATTGATGTTGTCTTTTTTTGGCTACAGATGCAGCTCATCATGAGTTGTGTCATACATGAGAAAAATACAAAAATACATGTAAAGTAGGTTAAGTGGTGATTCTGAAATGGTTGTGGGTGTGAATGGAGACCTGTTGCTCTTGGTTAAACCTCATTTATACTTCCCTGTTCACCCGAGTCCCAGTTTATATACATTTCATCATCAGATGGTGAGCGCAAGATTTCATGTGGATATCCATGTTTTGTTTTGTTTTTTTGTGACCATGGGGATTTGCATGCACCTCAGGCGGTGTACTTCAAAAAAGTATAACAGGAACGACTACTCAGCCATGAGGCTTCCACCTGTGTCCACAGTTAGTTTGTCACTAGTTTATCAGCCCACTGATAAACTAGTCACGCACAAGCCTATTATTATGTATTGCGTAAATTATGCTGTAAAGATTCATGGTTTTTCCTGGTTTTTATTGTGGATCATAATACCTATTGCGTGGTAATTATATTTTAAATAAAAGTTTTGTTGCAAAATTTATAGCATTTATGCTACAGTCCCACTAGTGAAAACAGTGGTTGGAGATCCCAACACTACCAGAATTATTGCCACCCATTGCGATAAGCGTACTCTGAAGACTCGCACTAAGTCTGCAGCACTTACAGTCACTGCTGTCTTCAAAGCAACTTTGGTGCCTCGAGATGGTGATTTAAAAATCAATGAGAGAGTCGGTGTGCTGGTCTCAGTTGGGTGAGGTCAAGCACAGCGATTTAACTGCATAATGACACAGGTGTTTGGTGACTTTGCATTTTTATAGGAGTACAACCAGAGCTAAACCAGCTGAGTCAAAGTCTTCTACTGCAAACAACTACGTTGCAGTCAAGACTCAGATTGATTGTAACATGTAGGCAACCTGTGTGCGTCTATAAACAGACAACAATTGTTTGGAAACATTCAACAATCACTCTGAGTGGTTGCAATTGTTTGGAGACAGGCTGCCTGCCACCAGATGAGCACTTCTAATGAAGTGAAGGGAACTTCTTGTGATTGAAATTGGTTGCCCAGCGGTTCATCATCCTGATGAACCGCTGGGCATCCAGACTACTCTGGGCATCCAGACTACTTGCAACTGGTTGCTGACCGTAAATCACCAAGCAACTACTGAATTTTTCTAGTTGTGAGGAGATTTCTACTCCAGTGTGACTGAGGAGATGCTTCCTAGCATAATTCTCTGCTGAGAACTTCATTAAGTCTTCATGTGTTTTTTTCTAACAGAGCTACGAGCCTGCCTCAATACAGAGTCGATCCCGAATCGATCAGGTAAAGCTTATCTTACTTCTTTCTCTCTCAGGTGGGGGTAAAGTTGGAATGAGAATATGAATTCTGTAGAAACATGGATAACGATTCGTTTGTTTTTTGTTTTTTTAAATTCTCTCTTTCAGGACCGTCAGAAGTAAGCTATAGAAATCTCTTCTGAAAGCTCAGCCGACGGTTGTGTTTGAATGGACATGCTGAAATCTAGGTTTAAAAAGAAAACACAAGGACACCAACAAACACAAAAAAAAATATCTGAAAACGAATATTTTTTTTTCTATTTAATTTTTGCGACCAAACTATTTGAGCCACCGGTTCCAGTCTTCAATATGCGTGCAGGGATGAAGCTCGTTCCACCAGATGAATCGCTTCAATAATATCTATTTTCTTGTTTTTTCTGTATTTTTTAGCCTTATAAATCTCTATCGCTACCCTCGAACATCTGAAATTGGTAACTAATTCTAAATATCTGCACGTCTGTTTGGAAAAATCTCTCGACAACATGCTGCTGATATTCAGTGACTGTTCACTTTGTGGTTTGTGTGTTGGAGAAATGTTAAGTGCTTGTATTGCTTTATCTTAATGAGTGAACAACAACTTTATTGACAAATGTCTGCTATCTGTATGTGGCCAGTTGTATTTTGTATTATCATAAGACAAAATAATGACTTCTATCATGCCCCCTCCTCTTCCTTCTCCTCCTTCTGTTTTTTTTTTTCCCCTCATGTGAGGGGTCTCTGAAGGTTTCTATATGCATAGACATAATTGTGCAAAGGTGGTGGCATTAGAAGGCATTAATGTTAGAAGAATATATTGAAGGATGTATCACCAGGTTTAACGTAATGTTGAGAAAATGTGCGATTTTGTCATTACAGGGTGGAGCCGTAACATTTCTTTGCAGCGGTAGTGTGGAATATTTTTTATTTCCAGTACTGTACCTCAATTTATTTATTTATTTTTTTTCAAGCTAGAGATTCAGGGAAAATAAGTCTGAAGATCAAACGCTCGTAAAGGTGGTCCTGCTCTCACTTTAACGATGGAAATTCAAATAATACTGTTTAAGTTGATTTTATTTTATTTTTTTAATCAACACAGGATCTGCTTTCTTTCCCCTTTCTCTGTTTATGAAATTCTGGGCAATGTAGCATGCACTGCTTTTAGAACTCAAGCCAGGCCCGTCGTTTAGTTTTATTTGTTCTTTCTTAACATTATAATAATCTTTTCATCATTTCCATCACTATAACCTTCATCCTCGGAAAATGTAAGCTTTAATGTACTGGCATTTCTAACTGAGATCGCCTCAAAATGTTTAACTGTAGCATTATACTTAACTGATTTATTGTCAAGTGTATGAAAACGCAGAGACTAGCCTATATGGTATATGTTTGTGACTTTTTTTTTTGTTATTTTCTTTTTTAATTGCTTGCTGTATTGTGTGTGGATGTGGGTGTGTGCGTGGGTGTGTGTGTATGCGAGTGGAAGAAAAAGAGAGGGACTGTGGAGCAATCAGAATTATATAATGGTATTGGAATATAGAAAATTTATGCAAAAAAAAGTTTTAAGTCACCCTTGAATTAAATATCTATTGTATCAGATGTCACTATCACATTCTTAGATTTGATCATATTCATTATTAAAGACATACTTATCTGTTGTTTGTGTTTGTGTTTTTATGACCATTCAAGGAAGTTTGTTTCTGAAAAATGAAAAAAGTTGCCACAAAAGCTTCGCGGACAAAATTAGAACGTCTCAGAGATCGATACGGCACGTCTCCAGTTGAGGTTCTCCGTCACTGATCATGGTGACGGTAGGAAGAAAGAACTCTTCTTTAACAGGAAGTGACCTCCAGCTGAAACAGGCACATGTGACAAGTTTGAGAACAGAAAGTATAGTATGGATGCTTGTTTCCACCAAAACAAAAACTTTTTCTCCTGGCACAGTTAAGTGAAAACTTCTTATATTATTTAAAATTTTTGACTATATTTTTGACATCTCAACTTTCTCTGATATTTTTACTAACTCGAAGTTTTGACTTAGGAATAGCAAAAACAAAAAAAGTGTTAAGAAGAAGCTTCCAAGTGTAGAGACTTGCTTGTTGCATTGATTGTTTTCTGGAGGAATTCCATTTTATAAAATGTTGATTAAAATAATTAATTGCAAATATTTATTTATTCGATGCTAGCTTTGCATCATTCAGTTTTAAATAGTCCTTATCTTATATTGAGCATTAGCTCTTCAGTTCACCCTCTGAAACAAGGTGTTTTAGCTCCCTGCTTCTAACTCAGCCCATGATTTCAGGTAGCGAGGAAAAGAGCTTAGTGGCTTTACTGACCAGAACAGAGGCACAGAGGAACCATAGGTGGTGCTGTGGGAAATCAGAAAAGCATGCTTCAATAACCATTAGGACCATAGACTGTATGTAAAAGATGAGCGTAGCTTTCAGGTCACAAAACTGAAGCCACAGCAGAAATACTTTCAACCTTCCATCTTTCTAATGAACAGCAGGGGGCAGCATCTGTAGTTTGAAAAGGTCTGGTTACATAAAAGTCTAGCAAAATTATAAATTTAACTTGTGACCTCAGTAAACACTTTCCTAACGAGTTTATGGCCCCCGGCACCAGTTTTACTTAACACAACATAAAGGTGATTTTGTCTGGTTATTATTACAGCCAGAAAGGATGACTGCATGGGGTGTGCTTTATTGGCTAAAGACTCCCAGCTTCTCCTTCAGACACACCTCCGATCTTTACAAGTTCATGTTTGAATCAGCAAATACATTATTTACAGTATATCAGCTGCTTGTTATCTGATGTCTCCATGAAGATCACTGGAATGCAGAGGTGTTTCCAGGATTTTTTTTTTAACGAGAGGACCCAAAAACAACAACATGGAGAAATCAATATTTAATCAGATGAAAATACAGATGCAGGAAATAGTCACAAATTTCAGGGTCTACTGAGGCAACTATTACCACTCTTGTAAATCCTATATGAGTAGAATACAAGAATCTAAATCACTGTATCATATGTGTGATATTACTGGATTATAATCTTTGCATAATACTCATACTCATAATACTTACATTCTATAGGTAACGTCATCTATAGTATTACAGCCTAACATCTTAGTAGAGTTTTATTTCGTTAAGTAATAAAAGAAATAATGTGATAAAAGCTCTAAAATGAATGGTCTGAAATATAAAAATCAGTGTTTTTGTTTAAGCTGTAGTTCAGAAAAGGAAAGTACCCGTAAATAGTAATACTGGAAGTATAATTACATTAAAATCTTTTCTTAATGTGGACAATGTGATTCAAATTTATTTCATTATCTGCTTGGTTGTTTTTAAAAAATTAGTTTTCAGTTAAGGTATCAAGTGATAAAGCTGTTGTACTCTTTAACATAATAAATACAAAGCTTTATTGACATAAAGTAATGAACTGATTCATCCTCACTGATAGGAAAGCAGCGACAGGCTGAATATGAGTATTTTGTGGTTACAGGTTCTTAAAAAAAATACTTCTAAACCGATAGAAAATGAGATTAAATGATTTTCTATTACTCGTGGTTAATTTTTGATCAAAAGCGATGGGATGAGAAGCAGCAGATGCGCTCCCTCCTGTCTCAGCAGCCCTCCGTCTCCGTGAATGATGCGGGGATGGTGCAGAGTTTGATTCCTCTCTTGGCATTCACCGCGTGCCTTAATTGTATGGCTAATAAATCAAGGTCCGCCGTGAACACGAGGAGCGGCAACCCTGTCTCCCTTATCGAGGAAAGTTGGAGCTTCTGACCGTCACAGACAGAAAAAACACACAAATAACCCGACAGGCCTGAGCGCCATCACTCTGCATCGCCGTTTACATGTCTTGAAAATATGACCTGAATTTCACACCAACCATCAACATAAATTAAAACACATCACACAATGCGCGCCTTCGTCTTCTTTCCCTCCTGCGCGACCGTGAATTATCAGTCCATCGTCCCCGGCGCGTCTTCATTCCGTGACACAGCACCTGTCCTGTTTTATTCTCAGTGATGGATGTGTGGAGGTGAAGCAGGCCAGACAATGCCGTCCACAGTCCGAGGCGGGCGGGCAAGCCCACTGGTGATGCTCAGCCAGGCTTTGAGTCAGAGGAAATAAAAACCTGCGTCAGCCCTCCGGACTCCGAGGTTTAAGTATCTGACAGATATTTTCGGTTTTCTGGATATTTCACATTTCTCTACAGCAAAAACCGCCCCCGTCCTGATTTGCGTGCGTCTTTCATATCCCGGTGTTCACAGCTGAAGCAGTAACGTCATGACGTGGATCCGCTATGAGACGCAAAGTGTTTGACCCCATTAAAGCGTCTACAGAGCGTGTTAATAAAATATATGGACCCGATGTCGAGCGGTACTGCAATGTTTTCATTTCTGTGGGCAGGAAAAGATCCGCATGCGCTGACCAGGGTGCTGAAAGCGGACCCGCTGGGAGTCAGTTAACCGCACAGGAGCCTCTATACAACTTCATCCCCTAAATATATTCAATCTAATAGTTTATAAAGTTGTATTTTCTTCGCTGTAACCGCATTAAAATCACAGAAGGAGCTGCTCCTTGAGGACAACCATTCACACATCTTATAAACAAATGCAACTTTCCTAATTATGCAAATAATGGAAAATATTACGACTGTGATAAATAACGAAAATGCATAAATTACAAAAATGAAAACATAAAATATGCCGTTTCGCAGCATTTGTGCAACACATGAGGAACAACGGCTATCAGTGACTCAACAATGTGCATTTTTAAGGGTCCGATTCCCTTTCAGGATACAGACCGACAGATAGAACTGTCCATCATATCTATGAAACCTGAAATGGAAGAGAAATTAAAAAGCGCAACAATGGTCCAGTTCCGATGAAGCTGAAATATATAAACTCACCGCAGAGGGCGCCTGAACACGCCGGGTGAGATTCATTCACAGATACGTCACTAAACAAGAAACAGAATAATGTGCAGCTCATTCATCAGCAACAAGAATTATTGATTTTCATATTTGCGTCACCAACGATCTTTTGCCTTATTTTCTTTCTTCTTTACTGACATACAGTACTTAAATGTATTAGATCACAACCCAGTGTAAGGTTTATGCCACAGCTGCCTTAAATTAACAGTATTGGTAATTAACAAAATCATTTTTATATTTTTGCAACGGTCGGTACAAAAACAATAGTTATATGATATTATATTGTTATATTTATTGTGGTTATCCGTGGATTTTCAGATTTACAGTGCTGATTTATAGCTGAAAATGATAAAGTGCATAGCTGTTATGATCAAGATGCCAAATTACAGTTATTTACATGCATTCATGAACAATTAAAAATAACTTTAGTTCTTGAATGTTATGCTTTATTAATTCCTGACCTCCAGAAGTCCAGAGTGCCCGCTCAAATTTAAGCATAAAAAGGTAAATTTACTTTGCTATTGAATGTTAAGGTAACTTTCTGAACCAAAAACACTCTGTTTCAGACAGGTTTTGTTCTACTGGCTCTCTATGATGTCACAGAGAGCAATTATCTCAGACACAAGATGTGAAAACATGTTCCACACACCTGCTGTTTTGAACTCATGTTTGTGTGGGACAGCCAATCAGAAGAGAGCTGGCTTTAAAGCGGGAGGACCAATACAACTGCTGCCTTAATGTGTTGTGGGCCTTACGATATTTGAGAGAGGCACCATCAATCAGAGGACGCCCTATGAGCACTTGGGAACAGTGAGAAGGGAAAGACTCCCTTTAAACAGGAAGAATAAAATAAAAAGACATGTATGCCCCTTTATTTATTAAATTTATATTTTTATTTATGAAACAAACAAAAAAAATTTTTTCTTCATGATAGAAGTGGACTTTTGTAGTGCACTTTTCCCAATTTAAGCCTCACACATTTAAAAAATAGTTTTTATGTTACTTTTTTTACAAGACTAAAAGTTCCTATCTCATATACAAGCCTATGCTTTCAAAAAAGTACTGCAACATTTTTACAAACCAAATGACACATTATTAAAATCATCTGAATACACATTCCTAATATTGTAAACCAATGGTGAAAGTAAAAAGCCACTATTATGTTTTAAATAAAACCAAATTTAAATAGAAACAAAAGGAAAAACACCCACAAAACAAAACACTTTTTTGTAGATGTTAAATATCAACAACTGCACAGATCAAGTATAAAACACTTTTACGACCCAAACTTTACAGCACCATTGAAAACACCTGAATAAAGATGTTTATAATGTCATTATAAATACATATAAAAGAGTTGTTTTATTAATCCTGCTAAAGTTTAACATTAGGTCTTCAGTGCTGGTTAAAACTAAAGTATGCAACATTTAAACAAAACAAAACAAAGGAATTACAGATAACCTGAAACTCCTCCTATAAGCTCCTCCCACTA